TACACAGAACATTTAACGAAACAGTACAACTTTATAAATACACATAGGAACACTACATAGACCATTTAAACAAGCATACAACTTTACAAATACACATAGGGAACACTACACAGAACATTAAACAAACATACAACTTTACAAATACACATAGGGAACACTACACAGAACATTTAAACAAAAATACAACTTTACAAATACACATAGAAACACTACATAGAACATTTAAAAAAAACATACAACTTTACAAATACGTATAGGGAACACTACACAGAACATTTACCCCAAAATACAACTTTATAAAATACATATAGGGAACACTACACAGAACATTTACCCAAAAATACAACTTTACAAAATACACACAGAAAACACTACATAGTACATAGAACATTTAAACAAAACATACAACTTTATAAAATACACATAGAAACACAACATACAGGGAACACTTACCCAAAACATAACAATTCATAAAATATACATAAGCACATACCATACAAGTTACAGATAGAATTAGTAGTTTACTGAACTACTATATAAAACAAACATATACAAGTTATACACAGGAATACATAATATAAAATACCATAAAAATGTATAAATGACACATTCCACTCAGGAAACTATCATAAAATAGAAACACTAATTATAATACAAAAATCAATAAAAATGTTTCTAAAAAGAAATCTCACTTGAATTAATAAGGATTTCTTTTAACTACCAAATAATTTATTTTGTTGAATTCTGTGTAAAGTTACACGAGGGCTATCAGTTCCTAATTTGGAATTGATAAACTAGAGGGAAAGTAGCTATCCAATATCACCCACTTCCAACTCTTGGGTGAATCTTGTGAGACTGAATAGTGGGACTAGGTAATGCACCCACAGTTCCAAAGAACAGTGCACAATATTTTTTTAAACTTTAATGCCAAATCCCCAGTTCGACAACCAAAATTGATTATAATTATTTCATGAAACGCTTAAGCTGCTTAATTAGAACTTGTAACTGAATAAAAGTGAGGATAGAGAATGCACTGTTTTCTTATATATATATATATCTATTATAAATGTTTCTAGTTTATTGAACATGTATCAAGAATGTAGCTGTTCTGTTGTTTTGAGGAACATGGGTAATCTTGGTAAATTAAGTTAATGGGTTTGTAGCCTTATCATTATCAGCTACCTTTATTGTTGAATTATCATTATCGGCTATTTATTGTTACCTTACCATTAACAGTTAGTTTTATTGTTATATCATCATTATCAGCTACCTTTATTGTTGAATTATCATTATCAGCTACCTTTATTGTTGAATTATCATTATCAGCTATTTATTGTTACCTTACCATTAACAGTTAGTTTTATTGTTATATCATCATTATCAGCTGCCTTTATTGTTGAATTATCATTATCAGCTATTTATTGTTACCTTACCATTAACAGTTAGTTTTATTATTATATTATCATTATCAACTAGTTTTATTGTTACCTCACCATTATCAACTAGTTTTATTGTTGGCTCACCATTATCAGCTAATTCTACTGTTACCTCACCATTATCAGCTAGTTCTACTGTTAACTTACCATTAACAGTTAGTTTTATTGTTATATTATCATTATCAACTAGTTTTATTGTTACCTCACCATTATCAACTAGTTTTATTGTTATATTATCATTATCAACTAGTTTTATTGTTACCTCACCATTATCAACTAGTTTTATTGTTACCTCACCATTATCAACTAGTTTTATTGTTAACTTACCATTAACAGTTAGTTTTATTGTTATATTATCATTATCAACTAGTTTTATTGTTACCTCACCATTATCAACTAATTTTATTGGTACCTCACCATTACCAGCTAATATATTGTTACCTCACTATTATCAGCTAGTTCTATTGTTACCTTACCATTAACAGTTAGTTTTATTGCTATATTATCATTATCAACTAGTTTCATTGTTACCTCACCATTATCAACTAGTTCCATTGTTATCTCACCATTATCAACTAGTTTTATTGTTGGCTCACCATTATCAGCTAGTTCTACTGTTACCTCACCATTATCAGCTAGTTCTATTGTTACCTTACCATTAACAGTCAGTTTTATTGTTACCTTATTATTATGGTCTAGTTCTATTGTTGTCATATCATTATAAGCTACTTCTATTGTTGCCTTATCATTATCAGGATAGTTTTATTGTTGCCTTATCATTATCAGCTAGTTTTATTGTTATCTTACCATCATCAGATAGTTTTATTGTTATCTTACCATCATCAGATAGTTTATTGTTGCCCTACCATCATCAGCTAGTTTTATTGTTGCCTTACCATTATCAGCTAGGTTTATTGTTGCCTTATTATTATCACCTATTTATTGTTTCCTTACAATTATCAATTAGTTTTATTGTTGCCTTACCATTATCAGCTATTTTATTCATGAATTATCATTATTACCTATTTATTGTTACCTTACCATTATCAGCTAGTTTTATTGTTGAATTATCATTCACACTGGTGTCAAAATTTGCCATCAATGGTGCTATGTACTGGGTAGCTGCCAACCAATTATGTACATAATCTCCAGTGTACAGAAACCCTGAAAAATAAAGTCCACTTGTACACAGGCAGTCAGGTATACTACATTATATACATATTGTCTGGTATACCACATTATACACATATTGTCTGGTATACTACATTATACATATATTGTCTGGTATACCACATTATACACATATTGTCTGGTATACTACATTATACATATATTGTCTGGTATACCACA